CGATAAAAATAAACTGAATTATGGTGTGCACCTCGATTTTTAAAGCATATAGAAAAAACGGCAATAAGTTTGACAGTAAAAAAAGAAATTTATCTGATGCATCTTGATAACTACCTGCAAAATAGCCGACAAGAATTTATTTTAAAAATTGTTTGAGTCTTACTCGTAAAAGTTTATTTTTCAATTTTAGTTTATTTTTTTAATTTAAATATTTCTACTTGGGGTACTTTATCTTTTCCGATTTATGATAGTAAATTTCTAATTCATCCGCTTTGCACTAGTAACAAAGATATTAATATTTTAAATTTAATTATTCTGAATATTTCTACTTGCGATAGTATATTTCACTTGTAGGGGCTTTATTTTATCGATTTAATAGTATAGATATTTATACTTTTAAATTTTATTCTTTAATATTTGTAAAGTCTGAAAAGGGGAAATTAAAATTGTTGAGGTCGATGTTTTTTTTTTTTTTTTGCTGGTACTCTTGTAAAAATATATGTAATACGTAAGGAGTTTCAGAATTAAAAAAATCTTATTTGTATCAAAATTTTGAAATCGGAAAATGAAATGGGAGTGATTAGAGACTCCCATTGACGAAACAAGTAAAAATTTTTTTATGCAGATCAACCATTTAATGATAACATTCAATCAAATTACTTATTAAACCTTCGCTCAAATTATTTTACTGAACCTTCGCTCAAATTATTTACTGAACCTTCGCTCAAATTACTTATTAAACTTTCACTCAAATTATTTTTTTATATAACTTACTGAACCTTCAATCATATTATTTATTAAACCTTCGCTCAAATTATTCGCTCAAATTATTCGCTCAAATTATTGCTTATTAAACCTTCGCTCAAATGAATACGTCATCTTATTTATCAAAAGCAATTCATGAATGTGTCCAGGTTGATGGCACATAAACCAGCCACAAGATCTTTTTTATTTCATTATCTACATATTCAACGAAATTTTCCATTATGTGTTTCATCAACCGTCCTGTATTTTGTATGTTTTCTATTTTTCTTTTGTGACTTGAAGACATAACAGAAATATATAGTTTTTAAAATTTTTAGTTCGTTCATTATAAAAAGTACTATTATAAAGAGAGTTGACCGTACTTAATATGTAGTACTGTAATTCCGGAAGTATGTAAGGATAATAAAGCTTATAAAATTTAATTATAAAAGTGAGGCGTCTTTAACATTAAGTAATATTAGTATTATTCTTTTTAAAGATACGATTTAACATAGACTATGAGAAAAGTTTTTTTTATTTAAAGAATTTTTTTTTGTAAACTATATAATACGTGTTTATTTGAGATTTATGATCATACTTTTAAAGTCAATATATATATATTATACGCGTATTATATTAAGAACTTTGACGTTTGATCTGTAAAAAATTCCGAAAATTATAATTTATAAACATATAAAAGTAAGAATATAAATATTTTTGAATTCAAAACAATAATATTAGAAGCTAAAAATTATGAAAAAAAATGAGAAACGCGCTTTTTTGAAAATAACAAGATCATTATTTAATCAATAATTTATCAATTTGTAAATTAGAAAAAAATATTTAAATCGCGTATTTAAATAAAACAAATATTTAAACATGTAAATTAGTGATAAGAACAATTACACTTTTTCAAAAATAAAATTCAAGTTTATTAAGAAAATACATTTTACTAAGCAGGACCATATACTCTGTCACAGTAGTTAATCCACTTAACTATGACCCCTCTGATTTTCGACCAACCTACTTTAGTATCGAACCACTCCTTATGGTCCTCTTTACAGTTTGGGTATTTCTGTAAAGAGGCCAGGTTCGACAGCTCTATGTGGATTAATCGTTCAATTCTATGAACGCAACTGCATTTGTAAGCAGTGGGAAAAGTTTCTACAACCTCTATCTTATACTTACATTTCTTTTCCCACTGCTTTATTCTTTGATCTACATCTTTTGCTCTGCCTATCTTAAAACAATTTTTAATTTCTTTCACTACGTACAATATGGATTAGAAAATTTTTTTTTATAAGCAAATAACAAATCATTAAATTTTAATATATACCTTTATATACATATATATAGCCTGGTTCATCGTCTTCGGAAATGTCTTTTTCCATTTCTCGGCGAAGACGATGTCGTATTTCTTCTGGGAGATCTGCATTGATATAATCTGTGAAAGATATATTAATATAAAATTCGTATGCACTGGATGAATCTGGTATGCAAATTTGTAATTTTTAAATATTTATAATTTATTAAAATACCTTTAGTTCTCACAATTGTACTTTTTGATCTCCCAGTTTTTATTGTTGCTTGGCGGTTACTTGTAGATCTTAAGAAAGTCGCCGTTCAACACGAATATTAGATATTAAAAAAAAATAAAAAAATTAGTCACATTACATTCATATAAATAAAGCAACAAAAGTATTTCGTGTCATATGGTTGATAGAGTTTATATCATCGCAAAGTGGAGAAAGTGGAGGCATTAAACTTCTATACTAGGAATTTACCGTCACAAATCGAGAGAAATATTCAGAAGAATAATTTTAAAAATATAAATATCTCTACTACTAAGGCTGATAGCATTTTACCATCGCAAAATGGAGCATTATAATAGGAATTTAAATCAAATATACTATCGCAAGTTGAAAGAAATATTCAGAATTAAATTTAAAAAATATATTATCGCAAGTTGAAAGAAATATTCAGAAGAATTAAATTTAAAATATAAATATCTCTGTTACTAGTGCAAAGCGGATGAATTAGAAATTTACTATCATAAATCGGAAAAGATAAAGTACCGCAAGTGGAAATATTAAGTAATAATATATACTTATCATTATATAACAAAAAAAAACGTATATCATTAATAACTTACTTTCATTTCATCCTTTAGAGCAAAGAATTTGTCGACGTCGATTCTATTATCTCTTAGCAAATTTTCTATGTGCATTGTGAATATTTCTTTCTTTAATGATAATCCAAATTTATCGCCCCCTCTTCTTTCTACAAAGGTCAGAAAGCTGGCTGCGCTCTATTTTGTTTTTGAGTTGAAATAACTTAGGCCTGTTCGATATAGATGTTTTTCATCCACGTCTAATTCTTCGCCAGAATGTTTTAACGGATATGATATTGGTGTAGACATTGTTATGAGAAAGTATAAGTTGGATTTTTGATTTTACTTTTCTCCAAATATCAAGTAAAATAAAATTTTAAACGCGTGCTTCAGTATTTTATCGTGGTCATTTACGCGACCATTCATCTGATTGGCTAAATTTACATGATTAGCCCAAAGAACGCTGCCAATCAGATTCCAAAATCAAGTGTAACATGAAGTGACCTCATAGGCAGACTTTCGTATGATTGATAGTTTAAATCAATTTAATTTTACATTATTTATACAGTTTAAAGTACGTTTTATTAGGGTTGTAGAACTCCACTATTAAAAATAATCAAAATTCTTTTTTATTTCAGAGAAATTAGCATGGTGATAACCTAATTTTATATATCTTTAAGAAGTCGCTATTATGCTAACTTCTCTAAAACAAAAAAGAATTTTGATTATTTTTAATAGTGGAATCCTACAACCCTAATAAAACTTTCTATATATTTCTTTTTTGTTTATTCGTAGTAGTTTTCTTTTTTTTAAAAATGTACTTTAAACTGTATAAATAATGTAAAATTAAATTGGTTTAAATAGCCAATCATACGAATGTCTGCCTATGAGAATTTTTTATAGTTAATAAATTTTTATTGAAAACGTAGACTCTTCCGATTTCAAATAACTATGAAAATTTTTTTTTACTAAGTGTGTTATTTATACTTTAAGATAGTTATTTAAAGAATATTTTATTGGTTGACCTTGTCTAAAAGACAAAATATACTATCGTTTACAATATTTGATTGTGCGAAGCTACGCTGTAAGTGAACTGGAAATTTTTTTATTTGGCTGCTTTATTACGTTAGAGCTTAAACAAACTTTTATAACAATTAAGTTTGAATAAGTATAGGCTTTTTAGTAGCAAGTGATCTGGGTTTAATATTTAGTATCAATTGGTTTTTATAGTGTATTGAGATAAATTTAAAGCTTTAGATAATATTTGTGTAAATTTTATTGATAATAATTATCTTTACGCATATCTATTCATTCTTGAAATTTATTTGTTGGTTTGTAAAATTTTTTATATGAAGTTTTTCATTTTCTTTCATTTTTCTAATAGTATTAGAACGATGAATTCTTTGAAATTATGTAATTTGATTGGTTAATGATCATGGGTAAATTACCTACCTAATTATCAACCAATTACAGATATATATCTTAAACGTATAATGCATATGTTTTTTTTGTTACATTATCTACGTATTACGTATCATCTGTTAACTTATGCGACTTACATTTCAATATACAAATAATAGGTTCAAACAAAAATATAACTTTTTTAATAGTAAAAATAGAAAAGTTGACCGGTTAGAATGAAAATGGATTTGGTTTTCATCTAATCCAAATAATATAAATACATTAACTCTTTGCTAGTTGTCTATTCAAAGCATTAATAAAACCAAGTTTGCATTGTTTGCATTGCATGTTCTTTATTCCCTCTGAATGATCTAGGTTCAAGAACTCTTTCAGTGGACATTAAGAAAATTTTTATCTATTTCAAGATTCTTAATGTTTAGATTCATGTTTAGTATTAACTTTTACATATTCAATAATGTATTGCCACATATGTTAGGAATTCGAATAAAAAAATGTTCATGAATTTGTACATATCAATTGTTCCGTGATTTTTACTCGTACGTTTATCGATACACCCATACGGTACACATTTTTCAACCAAATTTTATTATATCATAAGCACGTCATGCAGAATAACATTTTACAATTCACTTGTTTTGTAGGACCATCGTTTTAGTAAGACAATCTATTTATTGTAAAGTGAGAAACGACCCAATACAAACAATAATTTTTTTCTATTCCGATGTTATCCGTAAACTTTAGCATCTTCTTGTTTATCATCTTTTTGATATGTCGGCCTAAAAAAAAAGTGGTTGTTAGAAACTACTCACATAACAATATATAACAATATACGACAATGAGCTCTGAATAGTCAGCAGGCGATTAATGTGGGTAAGTAGCTTGGTTTACCCTCGTTAAGCCATCGAGTCCAGTGAAGATCAAGAAACTTGATAACCCTTATAAACTTGGTTTAAAAAAAGCTGCGTCTTAAGGGTATACATTGTATTCTCGGGCAACACCAGCGAAACTTTTATCCCCATAACAAACTATATAGTCATTATAAGTCGCAAGTTGCGCAATCACGACCACGACCTACGTGGAAGCGAAAATTGCGGGAGAACTTATTCCACACACACCACGCTGCCGACTATAGTTACATAACCTTTTTGCTTCAGGCGAATCAGAGTAGAATTTCGATTGCTCCACTTCGGTGCCAATGTACTTTAAATCCTGTAAATAAAATATAGTGTGTATTGATTAACATAAGGATTTATCATACACAAAAAGTCCAAAATTTAATACTCACTAAATTAAATGCTAGGTTCACAAAATCAATAAATTCATAGGATTGCTTTTTTCTGCACTCCGTTGTTTTAACAACTCTCCATATCTGGATTAAGTCTTCATCTTCCCTTAATGCCATCTTCATTATCTTTTGCTTGGAGTCCTCTTTCGTTTCATTGACCTATTTTAAAATATCTCGAACAAATTTTAGCATTTCACAAAAATTCGAGTCATCATGCTTTCTTTTCGGTTGTATCTGATTCTCATAGTTCTTATTTTCGACTTCTAAAGTTGGTTTGTCCGTCCATTTTTCAATAATTTTATTGCCCAATCTTTCCTTTATAGTGTACAATTCCTCATAGTTGCCACCTGGTATCAAAAGAAATAATGAGACAATACTTTTATACAAAATTAATGTTATTATATGGGGTCTTTGCCTTGAAAATGACCTTACGGTGCATGATACCGTAAGGTCATTTTCAAAGCAAAGACCCATATAATTTACTTACCTAAACATGTAACGACATCACACGCAAGAATAGCAACATTTTGGAGTGCGTGGTCACTCCATCGACCCTTTTGATCAATTAATATACCATGTGCCATTTTATGCCGAACATTATTCTTAAAATTTTTGAAAAGGTTAATGGGAGCTGATTTATGTTGGCCGTGGAATACCGACTTATCAAAAAGTTTTATATTTTCGATGATAAAATTAAGCATATTTAGAGTATCAGCATTACCGAAATCTGGATTTATGGGTGGACGCTGTTTGGAGGCAAAGCCCTCCCTCGACGACCTCAAAAGGAATCATATGTTCATTCTTGATCAGAAACTCGTTAAGTGATTTTTCAACCAAATTAAGAATAGGTTCGATTATAGCACCTTGCTCCTCATCACTGAAGGAAAAAATCTGCTTGACGGGCGGGGGTGATGATTCTCGGTTTTGTTTAGTGTTGTAATTATTTGTCACTTTAGATCCAAAAAAAGCGGACGAATAAACTCGTTTCTTGAACTTGACTAACACATATGGCCTTGGTCGTTTTTCCTCATTTTCTTCCGTAAACCACTCAAACAATTTAGTGTGTACATTTGATTGTTCACGAAAAACTTTGTCGCTACATAAAATATCGTTAAGTGATTTGAATATATTTTCAGAGGAGACCTTAAACGGACATGCGTCACGTAATGAATCGATGGTAGATTTAAGTGTACTCTTCATATTTTGCTTTATAACGCCGGTTCTCAACCATTTAGACAGTTTGGACCTGCCCATTATGTATGTAATTATAAACTGAAAATTATAAAGGCTGAAAAAAAAAACCGAAAAATCCGAATTATTTGAATTATTTAATTATGAAACGCGTAAAAAATATGAAAAGGTAATTCAAAATTTGTCGCTAGAAATATCAAAATAGATTCTACTTGAACCACAATTCGGCCAACCACAACTTATATAATACTAATACACGGAAAATTTTCGATACGTACGTATCAATTTTGCAAATAGTTTTGGGTAAAAAATTTGATTAAAGTACAGTATAACGAGCCTAATTTCTATTTTTGTCCAATAGACATGCCACAAAAAATATTTGTAAACTCACTAATAATAATTGTCAGTTTTGATCTGCAAAAACATGCGCAGCTGTTATCGTTATTACGTATAAAATTCAATAATGTATACTTATCCGGCAAATGACCATGAAAAAATTTCATGTGTTACGATATAATTATGTTCGTGGACAAGTCTCGTAGCACAAACTTCCCACGCTGACTCAGGGTCGATCTGCCCAATAAATGCACAATTTTTAATCAGTTTTATGATAATACAAGTTTTTATTTACAATATAAAGGATATCTCACAATCCAGCAGTCATGATTTGGATGAATTTAGACAAATCTAATGGTACAAAAATTATTAAATCCCACCTACTGGATCGCAAGATAAGTAAGTAAAACCACTTAGCGTTAGCGTTAGGTATTTCAGCCTTAATATACTATATTTAAGGGGTAGTCCGCCACTAAAGTGTAAAAAAAATTGCAGATCTCATAATAAACAAAAATGGAAATTCATTATGTTTTTTATAGTTCAGGAATCAGCTTGCTTACATATAAAAGTATTTTTTCTTTTAGCTTCTAATAAAAGTTGTAGGACTAATTTTTCTGATTCTAATGGAAGTAAAATCACGAGATATGAGTATGTTTTGATTTTTTACTATAGGGTTTTTTTCTTAAGAACGGGATCACATGGGATTCCATTTCTATATAAGGCAATTAGTAAATCTACACCCTTCAACTGCGGACCACCCCTTAATTATTTTTCTGAAATTAGAGTAGGTTTTTTTAATAACTAGGTTAAACTTGGTTTAAGGGGTTTGTTTTTTTAAACCTGGTGAACGGGTCTGAGCAGTGTTTATTTTTCACAGTGTGCGCATGTGCGCGCACTGTGTGGGTCCAATCAAATTTTGAAATAAATAAATTTGATTGGATCCG